GAGCAGGTGGCGCGCAACCGCTGCCGGCTCTGCAGCGCCGTCCGCCCACGCCCCTGTCGTGAAGCTCCCTTGTCGGTCCCTGTGGGAGCCTCGGGAGCCGGTGGGACGCGGGACCTGGGCTGGGGCTGAACATTCTCCCCATTCCCAGGTCTGGTTCAAGAACCGCCGGGCCAAATGGCGACACCAGAAGCGCGCGTCGGCTTCCGCGAGGCTCCTGCCCGGCGTCAAGAAGTCCTCCAAGGGGAGCTGCTGATGACTCTAGGAGCTGCCCCTGGGCTCGGCCACCCTTTTTGGGATCTTTGGAGTTGGCGCTGAGAGAAGACAGATCTACCCGAAAAGGAGCTAGGAGAGTACACCCGTCTGCTCCGCCCGTCTCCACAGCCCTTGCCTCCTGCAGCTCGTACCCTAAAGACAGCTGTACCCTAAACACTCCTCGCTGGGAAGGAAGGACCGCAGCCCAGGGCCCCCGGTGCATGGTGTTCCACGGTAGTGGGAGTGGAGAATCCCTTGGGGGTGGGCTGGGGCATAGAACAGCTTCCTCACCCCCTCATCACCCCAAGAGACACTAACTCTACCCCAGGAAGGAACCACGCCGTATCAACACTGGCCCCAGAATCCTCCGCAGTGGAGCCTCTCTCCGCACCCTGGGACATGCTGGCCTCCCTCTTCTCAATGTGGACGTTGACCCAACTTGACCTGGCCCGCCCTCCCCCAGCGGGAAGCGGGGTGGGGTTCGTGTCTGTGCAGTCCTGGGATTGCAGGCTTCCCAGACCCTGGGCTGACTCTTGGTATCTGGGCCTGTAGGATAAGAAGGTCGCAGGAGCGATTCCAGGAGCCCCTCCCCAGTCCCTTGACCTTCGAGCCTCGCGCTGATACTGAGAAACAAGCAACTTCAGATACCACAGAAGCCGCCCAGAGTCTCAAGTCCACCTTGGCTCCACCCTCACAACCAACAAGGAGCTGTCCCTTCTCCTTCCTTCCCAGTGAGGGGTGTTTAGGGTACAGCTGTCTTTGAGAGGAGCACAGCTTAGCGAGGCCTCAGTCTCTGCACCAGGGTGCTCCCCAGCAGAGGAGACTGCTCCATAGATGGTGGCCTTGGGCCCCTGGGATCCAGCCCTGGCCTCTGGGCTACCGTGAACCTGCCCATGGGTGGGGGTCCCCTGCTTCCTCCTGGGGTTTTCATGCTGTGGGGTCGGCCTGCCTCACAGCAATCTCTGCCGTCCTAGGGTAGGGCAAGAGGAGGTTGGATTGGGGAGACCCCACCCCTGCTGCCTAGGAAGATGCCTGCCCTCCCCTTCTTTATCCTGGCCCATGGCGAAAGGCACCGTGGAAAGAAGCCTTCGATTCTCCAAGTAGGCCCTACAGTGGGTCCAAAGCATCTCACATCCCCTTCAGCTGGCTTGAGCACCTCGATCTGTCTCCTTACAGGCCCTGCAGGAAACGGGGCAGTTCTACCTGCAGGAGACGAAATCCATCTCTAAAAGCAGGACTGCAAAAGCCAGGGCTGCAGCTCCTCGGACACCCCAAGGCTGGCCAGCTTGGATAACACCAAGCAAGCATGGTGTCCCCAGTCAGAACTGCCCTGACACTGCTGGGTGTCCCTAGCATCCCCGCCTCCACCCCTAGCATGCACACTGCTGGTTGTCACAAAACCCTTCTCCCCGAACCCTGGTCTTGCCCTTGGGGACTGAACAGACTACCTGTGGACATGCCCGTGTCCCGGTCAGCTCCCTTGCAGGTGGAGACACTCCCATCTGGTGGGCTCCGGGCTCCGGGCTCCTCGCACTCCTTGGTTGAATGGCCATCTGTCATCGTGTTGGGAGCCCTGATCAGAGCTTGTGGAGCGCCACCTTCCAGGGCTCAGTGGCTGTGTTGCTCTCCTGAATTTGCTCCTTGAGCTCTAGCTGCTCCTTGGCAGGCCGACCCCCCACAGCAGGCTGTTAACATAGGCATCCTTCAGGCTCACACCCAGGCGCTCACTTCTCGTCTTCACCCTCTCCCTGGTTTATCTTTTACCCTCGGACTCCAATTCCCATCTTTCTGCCACATTTACATCTCAAACTCAGGCCCTTCCCCCTGAGCCAGGTATTTATCTCCAGCTGTCTGCTTGAAGTCCACAGACTCCTTAAGGTCACCTTGTCCACAGTGAGCTCTTCTGTGCAAACCAGGCACATGAGCCAGAGAGCCAGCGGTCACTGGACCCCTCCCTCTCCTGATCATCCACTATACCCGGGCTGACAGGAAGTCAATTTTACTGTTCATCAATAAATCCCAGAATCTCTTCAGCTCTAACTGTACCAGTCTGATGTAAGCCACCGTCACCTCTCACCTTGACCACTGCAACTGTTTCCAGTCTTGTCCACCTGCACCCACACTGGCTCTGCTTTTTTGTCAGTTGATTGGTTGGTTTGAGATAAGATCTCGCTCCGTCACCCAAGCTGGAGTGCAGTGGTGTGATCACGGCTCACTACAGCCTCCAGCTCCTGGGCTCAAGTAATCCTCCCGCATCAGCCTTTTGAGTAGCTAGGACCACAGGTGGGCACCACCACACCTGGCTAACTTGAAAAATATTTTGTAGAGATGAGGTCTTGCCATGTTGGCCAGGCGGGTCTCAAACTTCTGACCTCAAACGATCCGCCAGCCTAGGCCTCCCAAAGTGCTGGGATTATAGGCATGAACCACTGTGCCTGGCCTGTCCCTTCAATTCAGAATAAAGACAAACCACCTCACCATACCCCACAAGGCCCTGTGCAGCCTGGCGCTGCCTCTCTGGCATCATCTCACACCTCACTGCACTCTGCATTTCCAAAGGACTTCTTGGGAACTTGCCTTGCTCCCTCCCACCACTAGGCCTTTGCACATGCTCTTTCCACCTGACCACTGCCTGTTTGTTCATCTTTTGAATCTGCAATCACTTTCTGCCTGGGGAAACTTCTCTGACCTCCCAAACTAGGTCAAGATTCCCCAAGTACAAACTCTTTTCTTGCAAGGACACAGCTGCAATTTTACACCTGTTTGTGTGATGATGTAACAAGTGTCTCTGTCTCCCCCATTGCCCTGTCACTTCTACCAGGGCAGCAGCAGCACGCTGCGCTTCAGTGAATGAAGGTATGCCTGTATGTTGCAAAAGCAAAAGTGTATTAAATTGTTCCAGGGAATAATTTATTTGTCTGACATAATTCACATCTTCTGTTTGGGAAGAAATTCCTTAAATTTTCTGGTCCACTTGAATGTTATTTTATTTATTTTTTTTTTGACAGAGTTTCACTCTGTCACCCAGGCTGGAGTGTAGTGGCACAATCTCTGCTCACTGCAGTTTCTGCTTCCTGGGTTCGAGTGATTCTCCTGCCTCAGCCTCCCAAGTAGCTGGGACTACAGGCACCCACCACCACGCCCAGTTAATTTTTTTGTGTGTGTGTATATATATATGTATATGTATATATATATATTTTTAGTAGAGTTGGGGTTTCACCATGTTGGCCAGGCTGCTCTCAAACTCCTGACTTCAAGTGATCCACCTGCCTGTGCTTCCCAAAGTGCTGAGGTTACAGGCATGAGCCACTGTGTCTGGCCTTGAATGAGAATTATCCGTCTTCTGGGAAGCCCACTATGGCATTTGGGGCCCCAATAATCTTTTTTTTTTTTTTTTTTGACAGAGTTTCGCTCTTGTTGCCCAGGCTGGAGTGCAGTGGCCTGATCTCAGCTCACTGCAACCTCCGCCTCCTGGGTTCAAGTGATTCTCCAGCCTCAGCCTCCCGAGTAGCTGGGACTACAGGCACCCGCCTCCACCACCATGCCCAGCTAATTTTTTGTGTGTGTGCGTGTTTTTGTTTTTTTTTGAGACGGAGTCTTGCTCTGTCCCCCGGGCTGGAGTGCAGTGGCACGATCTCGGCTCACTGCAACCTCTGCTCCCGGGTTCACGCCATTCTCCTGCCTCAGGATTCAAGTGCCTCCTGGGTTCAAGCATTTCTCCTGCCTCAGCCTCCCGAGTAGCTGGGACTACAGGCGACAGCCACCGCGCCCGGCTTATTTTTTTTTGTATTTTTAGTAGAGACAGGGTTTCACCATGTTAGCCAGGATGGTCTCGATCTCCTGACCTCGTGATCCGCCCGCCTCGGCCTCCCAAAGCGCTGGGATTACAGGCGGTGAGCCACCGCGCCTGGCCTTTTGTGTGTTTTTAGTAGAGATCGGGTTTCATCTTGTTGGCCAGACTGGTCTCGAACTCCTGACCTCAGGTGATCCGCCCGTCTTGGTCTCTCAAAGTGCTGGGATTACAGAATAATCTTTAGACATTTCTTAATTGATCCACTGTCTTGTTCTTTCTTTTATCTTTTGTTAGATAGCTATAAAAAAAAAGATTGTTTTGGCCGGGCGCGGTGGCTCACGCCTGTGATCCAGAGACCAGCCTGACCAACATGGAGAAAACCTGTCTCTACTAAAAATGCAAAATTAACTGGGCGTGGTGGTCCATGCCTGTAATCCCAGTTTCTCGGGAGGCTGAGGCAGGAGAATCCCTTGAACCCGGGAAATCCGGTGAGCCGAGATCCCACCATTGCACTCCAGCCTGGGCAACAAGAGCGAAACTCCGTCTCAAAAAAAAAAAAAAATTGTTTTAAGGCCCTTTTTTTGCATAAAGCTTGAAACTCCTATATAAGCACATTTCTTCGTGTGTATTTTTGTTGAATAATCTCGAAGCATACATAGTTCTTACTTGTGGGAAATTAGAATTCTAAGGCCTTTGGGCACCGTAAAGCTACAATTTTTCGCGTGAAGAACACGCCCCATAGCACCCGCCCCCCCGCCACCTCCACAGCACCACCTCGTGTTCACAGCATTGACAAGCATGACTAGCGCGGGGCAGGACAAAGACTACAACTCCCATAATGGATAGCATTTATAGTGACGTCAGTACGGAGCGCGGGCTGGCTTTCTAGAGCCACAGCTTTTCCATTGGCCAACTACTGGAGGCGCCTGCGCAAATGATGCAATCCCGCCCCCTCCACCCTGTGACGCGCCTGGGGCGCCCGAGCTTTTCCCTGGGATAGCGATGGAGACTCCGGGCGCATCAGCTTCGTCGTTGTTGCTCCCCGCCGCGTCCAGGCCCCCGAGGAAGCGCGAGGCGGGAGAGGCTGGGGCTGCGACGAGCAAGCAGCGGGTCCTGGACGAGGAAGAGTATATCGAGGTACGACCTCGGTGCGGACGCCGGCGACTTCTGGGCCCCTCCCCTGCTTCACGCTCCCCTCGGGTTCCCTTTCTCGGGTCTTGACGCTCCGTCTCCTCTTGGAAGTGGAGGAGCCGGAGTCCCTGCCCGTGGGGTGTGGACGGTCCCACGAGTCAAGTAAACAGGGCAGAGGAAGACGTCTGTGGTGGAAGAGGCTGTAGCAGTGTTGTCAGGGAAAAGAGGGAGCGGCTCTCTTTCTATGGGACGGGGGTCAGGAAAATAAGATTTTCTGTTAAACTGTAAGAGTTTGACACACTGAAAGGATGGTGGCAAAGAGGGCTTTCTAAAGAGCGGCGCAGCAAGTATGAATGCTGGGGTTCCAGGAAAAAGCCTGCAGTTGTGACAGCATCCCGAGTGAGTGGACCTCCGTCGCCCCACCACAAGCTCACAGAAGGAGGAGCTGAAACGGGGATTGGCGGAAGTCAGTTTGGTTTTAGACCTGTTTAATTCGGGACACCTTTTCGGATATGTAGATGGGTGGCTTTAACGGACGGTTGGGTGCCCAAATTCGCAGCTCGGGAGCAAGGTCTGGCTGGAGGTGCAGACTTGGGAATCTCAGCCGGTGCTAGTGACTGGCTGAAGTTACTCAGGAAAAGGGTTTATTTTTATTTTATTTTTTGAGGCGGAGTCTCCCTCCTGCCTCAGCCTGCTGAGTAGCTGGGACTACAGGTGCTGCCACCACGCCTGGCTAATTTTTGTATTTTTAGTAGCGGCAGGGTTTCACCATGTTGGCCAGGCTGATCTCGAACTGCTGACCTCAGATGATCCGCCCGCCTTAGCCTCTCAAAGTGCTTGGATTACAGGCGTGAGCCACCATGCCCTGCCAGGAAAAAGGTTTAGATTGGAAATAGAAAGTCATGTGTGGAATGAAAGTGATAATACCCACGTTGGTCTGGCTGGTGGGCAGCCAGCAATGGAGAATGAGAATGACCAGTTAGCAAGGGCGAGAGAGAAGAGTTTCACGGACATCAGAAGAGTGTTTAGTGATGTTAGAGGTTGCAGCATGGCAACCATATGGGATGCTCAACCTGGCTAGAAAGTGCCCTCAAGCTCCCTCAAGCCAGGCCCAATCACTGGGGAAGCAGAATTTGAAGGAGTGGACTCTAAGGCAGGAACGCCCAGACGGCAACTCAAACCTTCTTTTTTTTGAGACAGTCTTGCTCTGTCACCCAGGCTGGAGTGCAGTGGCATGATCTCGACTCACTGCAACCTCCACCTCTCGGGTTTAAGCGATTCTCCTGCCTCAGCCTCCCAAGTAGCTGGGACTACAGGTGCCCGGCTAATTTTTTGTATTTTTAGTAGAGATGGGGTTTCATCATGTTGGCCAGGCTGGTCTGGAACTCCTGACCTCGTGATCCACCTGCCTTGGCCTCCTGAAATGTTGGAATTACAGGCATGAGCCACTGTGCCCAGCCTCTGACCTTCATTCTGATCTCTCCTTGCAGGGCCTCCAGACAGTCATCCAAAGGGATTTCTTTCCTGATGTGGAGAAGCTCCAGGCACAGAAGGAGTACCTGGAAGCCGAGGAGAATGGAGACTTGGAACGGATGCGCCAGATTGCCATCAAATTTGGCTCTGCCTTGGGCAAGATGTCCCGGGAGCCCCCGCCGCCCTGTATGAGGACCCTGTGGGTAGTGGAGAGGGGAAAGCCTGCTGAACTGTTGCTTCAGGCTGCTCTAATTCTCATCCCCCTCTCTTCCCTTAGATGTGACTCCAGCCACGTTTGAAACCCCTGAGGTGCATGCAGGCACTGGAGTGGTGGGCAACAAGCCCAGGCCCCGCGGCCGAGGCCCGGAGGATGGTGAGTGAGGATGCCCTCTTTCAGTCACCTGGTCAGGATTGCCTGGGAATCTTAGCCTGTGAGGCCCTGAGGGGGTGCTCCAGAGGGCTGCAGGTCACATCTTGTTCCTGAGGGGTCTTGCCTAAATAGCAGCCTGTGAAGTCAAAGGACATTGGTCTAACTGGTAAAACATCTGGGTCCAGCTCCCACACGTGACTTGCCTCTGTGAAATGGGACTCTCACCAGCTCTCACTGGCTTTTCTGCTGTGTTCCAGCCCTGCCCTGTGGGCTTCATGGATGTTGGAAGGCCCCTTTTGTCACTATCCTGAAGACGCCTCAGGGCCTCTCCATTTGTTTCCTTCATGTTGGTCACTTCCCAGATAACTGCATGGCTCGCTGCTTTTCTTCCTATAGATCTCTGCATAGATGTTACCTGTTCAGAGAAACCTTTCTTGACCTGCCACTGTAAAGTCACACCACCACTGGTGCTCTGTGGCTTCCAGCCTGGCTTTGGTTTTTCATCACAAGACATTTTATTTTATTTTATTTTACTTTATTTTTTATTTTTTGACACGGAGTCTCGCTCTGTCACCCAGGCTGGAGTGCAATGGTGTGATCCCAGCTCACTGCAACCGCCACCTCCCGGGTTCAAGCAATTCTCTCTGCCTTAGCGTCCCAAATAGCTGGGATTACAGGCTCCCGCCACCACACCTGGCTAATTTTTGTATTTTTTAGTAGAGACGGGATTTTGCCATATTGGCCCGGCTGGTCTTGAACACCTGCCCTCAGGTGATCTGCCTGCCTTGGCCCCCCAGAGTGCTGGGATTACAGGTTTACACCTTAATATACAAGGATTACGCCACCGCGCCTGGCCGAGACATAACATTTTAAAGGGATTACTATTTATGGTCTCTTTCCCTAATTGGCATCGCTTGCATAAGAGCAGAAGCATTATTTTGCTTTCATCTGTATGCTGTGTTGGGAACAGCACATGTGGTATTGTGGGCCTTGCACAGGTACACGTGGAACAGATGAAAGTTGTCATCTTCAGCATGTTTGCTGGGACACACAGGTCTATATGGTAACATTGTGACTTGATGGGGGAGTCCGTTTAGGAAAGGGCACTCCGAGTCCTGTTGAATGTAAGTGTTCTGCCCGCCATGGGACTTCCACATGGTCAGGCCCTCTTTTAATCAGTAGTAGAACATCAGTGCACGTATGGACGAATGAGACGCTCTTTCCTATCAGTTTCTAGACTCCAGTGTGCTGGAACAGCACAGATGTGTTGTATGTTTGCACAAACATGATATTTTTTGCTTTACAATTCAGCTTTTTCGGCCATTAACACAGTCCTTGTTGTCCTTGAAACTTGATTATCTGTTGAAACGTAGCTTGTGCATCATAGGACAATTTGTAGATTTTTTTCTTTCTTTTTTTTCCTATAGAGATGAGATTTCATTATGTTGCCCAGGCTGGTCTTGAACTCCTGAGCTCAAGTGATCCTCCCACCTCAGCCTCCCAAAGTGCTAGGATTACAAGTGTGAGCCATCATACGTAGCCAATTGGCAGATTTTCAATACCTATACACCTACATGCCAGTAAATATAGGAATGCTTTTCAGAACCTCAGTGGTAGGAGCCATCATCGCGTTTACAGGTGAGGAAGCTGAGGCTCAGAAAGGCAGTCACTTCTGCAGGTCTCAGTGATGGTCAGGGTTTCACTTCTTATCTCTCTGAGATGAATGGGGTTTCACTTCTTATCTCTCTGACCCCTGTCCTCATCCCTTGGGTCTTGAACTTGTAGCCACTGTGCCTTGTGCATAGCCTCGCATGTAGCACGTGGTCAGGACTGTCACTAGACTCGAAGGCAAAGCTCTCCAGGTGGCCCCACTGAAGTTTGCACCACCACGCGCAGCACCAGGGCACCACCTCAGTGGGGGTACCACTTTCCATGGTGGCAGGCTTGATGTCGAGGTGTTTGGGGTTGTGGCTTAGCACCTGTGAGGCCCCATCCAGAGGATCGGGTCATATGGGGTCCCTGGAATTGGGGCTGGCTCTCAGGTCAGGATGATTAGGCGATGACCACCCACCTGTAGTACAGGTACCGGGAAGAGAAGAGTGGTTAAATTAGTAAGGAAATCCTAGGAAGTGAGGGAGAGCCCCCGAGGATTTGGAGGTGCATCCCACAGGACTGGCACCACTTTGGTGGGGGAGGAGCCTGCCTGTGATCACGAGCCCTTGCTCTAACACCTGTATTGCTCCCTCCAGTCTGAATCAGACTGTAATTCCCTTGGCATCCAGCACATGAGTGGAGCTGGCCGTGCATCTGTAGGGCACCACCTGAAGGCTCTCTGAGCAGTCAGAGTGGGTGGATTCTGCCCCCATGGGGAGTCCTTGGCAGTGTGGGCTCTCATGGGCAGAAGCAGGACCGGGGAGAGGATCCCAGCACTGCATGTTGGGGGCTGTGATTCCTGGGCCCTGGTGTCGTCCTCTTTCCTGACTGCAAAGGGTGCTGTGTTCCTCCTCCCACAACCCCTAAGCAGGAGAGGCTGGAGAGGAGGAGGAGAAGGAGCCACTGCCCAGCCTAGATGTCTTCCTGAGCCGCTACACGAGTGAGGACAATGCCTCCTTCCAGGAGATCATGGAGGTGGCCAAGGAGAGGAGCCGGGCACGCCACGCTTGGCTCTACCAGGCTGAGGAGGAGTTTGAGAAGGTGTCTTTGGGGTCTTGGGTGTCACATAGGCGTAGGCACCCTCTGTGATGGTTGGGGGAGCTCCAGGGCCGTGGGTACAATGCCCAGGGGCATCTCTGACCATCACTTTTCCCCATGTGATTGCAGAGGCAGAAAGATAATCTTGAACTCCCATCAGCAGAGCACCAGGCCATCGAGAGCAGCCAGGCCGGTGTGGAGACCTGGAAGTACAAGGCCAAAAATTCCCTCATGTACTATCCAGAGGGTAAGCAGCGGGCCTGGCAGCCAGATGGGGAGATGTTGGGTAGAGCTGCGTGTGTCTGGCTCTGTGTTTGGAGCAGCCTTCCAGGTGTGTATGTCCGTGCCCCCTTGGAGTTTGGGCCTCCGAGGGGTACTGGTCTGTCTCAGAGTGGACAGGTCTGTGTGAGGTCAGCAGTGAGTGAGGCCCTCTCCAGCAGCACCAGGGCCTGCGTTCTGCTCAGTGCTTCTGTTCATCTGGGAGTGACTTGGCCGAGAAGCAAGCTCCTCGTGCTCCTTAGGCTGCTGCCCTTCTGACACCTGCTGCTACCTTTGCTTCATCTGCCAGGTGTCCCTGATGAGGAGCAGCTGTTTAAGAAGCCCCGGCAGGTGGTGCATAAGAACACGCGCTTCCTTAGGGACCCCTTCAGCCAAGCCCTGAGCAGGTGCCAGCTCCAGCAGGCAGCCGCCCTCAATGCCCAGGTGAGTGGCGGGTCAGCGGGGTCACATGCGCCAGGCGGGGCAGGGCTGCTTGGGGGCAGGCACGATCTCTCCCATGTCCTTGAGCTTGGCGAAGCTCAGTGAGTAGAACCATCTGAGGCCCTGTGCGGCAGGGTCCTGAGTCTTTCCGGAGCTCAGTGAGTGGAACCATCTGCGGCCCTGTGCGGCAGGGTCCTGAGTCTTTCCTCATCCCCAGTGGGCTTCCACTGAACACTGCTTTGGTTACACACGTTCTATAGGTCCAGATCTGTGCCAGCTCCCTTGATGGCAGGGGCATTAGAGAAAAGGGGCTGCTGGGAGTGAGTCCAGGCTGGCCGCTGCACGCGCACACGCCGGGCAGGGAAGCCAGCGAGCAGCAGAGGGAGCCCAGTCCCGGGGGGTGGCTGGTGGTGGGACAGGCCCTGGGTTGGCAGAGAGCAGAGGCTTTCTGAGTCTGGGAGCAAGACGAGTGGACACTCTCTGACAGTGACTGTGGCGGTCACAGGGTTGAAGTGGGGAAGGCAGGAAGAGACTAGAGCATAAGTCCTGTCTGTCGTCAGCATTGCCCCCTGCAGGGGCCTGGCGTCAGCATCCTCTGGAGTCGCTGGGATAGGCGCAGCTGGAGCTGAGCCCAGGCCCCTCCCTGGATGGGAGGAGGGGCTTCCCTCGCTCGGGTGCCCATTTTGACAGGCCCTCAAGGTCTTTGGGGCGGTTGGGGCAGGGGCCCTCCCTCTGTTTCTCCAAGAAGGCCACCGACCTCAGAGCCCCAGCCTTGCCTTGAGGAGAGGAAGTGTTTCCAGCATGTTCCCATGTGTTTGCCCACTAGCCCGCTGTCGAGCGTGGGCTGCAGTCCCCCTGATGCCAGCCTCTCTGCTTGTTCCAGCACAAACAGGGCAAGGTGGGCCCCGATGGCAAGGAGCTGATCCCCCAGGAGTCCCCTCGAGTGGGTGGATTTGGATTTGTTGCCACTCCTTCTCCTGCCCCTGGTGAGAAAAGTGCCCACTGGCAAGTGGCCTACTGCTGGGACTTCCTGGGAGAGGTGGGCTTCTCAGTCGGCCCTGGCCACTCTCGGCCTCCAACTGGCCTGCCCCACACCTTGTGTGACTCAGGGACCTGGTCTCCTGTCTGTACAAGGCCTTAGAGGCCAGGTGTCCAGGCTGCTTGGGGCCGTGGGTGGGCTGGATTCTCAGGCAGACCTGACCCGAGACGTCCTGGGGTGATGTGTCCTGTCCTGGTCCTTACTGTGATGTCAGCAGGTGGGGGTGTGTGCACAGTGCTTATGAGTCTAAGTCTACCTAGCACTGCAGGGAGGGAGGCTTGGCACCTCAGGGGGCAGGTGACACTCAGGTGGTCCCGTGGCATGCGTGGGTGCCCCTCCTGCACTCTGGCCTCTGTGCTTTTGGGTGCTGGTGCTGTGTCACAGGCCAGGGCATGTGAAGGCACCACAGGTTTGTCCGGGGTTCTAGGAGGTTTGGGAGCCCTGGAAGGCCTGTGTGTCTCCTCCTGCATGGCTGGGGGAGACCTCCCAGAGGCTCGTAGGCTAAGTACATGGCTGTAGGGCCTTGAGCCTGCCTCGGGCCTGCTAGGAGCTTGGCATTTCCCTTTCGGAGGATGGAGGTGCCAGGGTTCCAGAGTCCTGGGGAAGGAGAAAGGGCTAGCTGCCTGTATTCATGTTAGCTGGGATGCACATTGGGTGAACAGGCTGTGACTGGAGGGGAGGGTGGTGGGGAGTCCTCTGGCCTGAGATGGTTTTGGGCTCTTTATTTGCAGGTGTGAACGAGTCCCCAATGATGACCTGGGGGGAGGTTGAGAACACACCGTTGAGAGTTGAAGGGTCGGAAACCCCCTACGTGGACAGGACACCAGGCCCAGCTTTCAAGGTGGGTCGTGGTGATGGGGGGACTGTGTGTGACTGGGGTGGACACCTCTAGAGCCCTGAGTGCCTGTGGCTCAGGACTGAGCACTGGGATCGGCCCCCAGCTGCTGACAGAGTGCTGGCTTTTCTGAATGCCAGGGCACCAAAGGCAGGTGTGGGTGGGTGGACCTGTCACAGAGGGATTTGGGGGTGTGAGGGCTGAGACACCAAGGCAGGGAGTGGCTTGGGCCCTCTGGATCCTGGAGGCCGGGTGCTGTTCATGAGTGAGGGAGGATAGTCACAGACACGTCAGGAGCTCTGCAGGCCTGAGGACCATGGGACGCGGCTATGTGCTTGCAGAGGAAGGCCCCTGGTTACAGAACACGACCGGGGCACGCTGGATGACACGGCTCAAGCCTGGTGTTGTAGGAGTGGTCAGGGTGGAGTGTGTGAGAGCCGGCACAAACCAGGGGAGGCTCTTTGTGGGCTGGGTCAGATGCAGCAGGCCTCCCCGTACCACTGTGGGGCTTTCCCCAGAGTACTTAGTAGAGGTAACCCATGTCCAGACAAAACATGGGGAGAGGTTTTGGTTACTTTGGTTCTGAATTGTCTGGGATGCAAGGATAACTAAGGCAGGCATGCGAGAGGGATAATGAAGAGGATGCTATGCTGTCAAATGTGAGAGCATAAGGCAAGGGCTGAGGTGCTTCCAGGGTGCGCCCGCCACTGCTTCCCAAGTCTCCAGGCCAACGGAAATTGTGAAATCATGATCCAAGTCAGAATTTAGGGCTCGATAAAGATGGCAACTCAAAGTGCACTGAATAGCAGAGTATTTAGAAATGAAGGAAGCTGGGTCCTTAGGATGTGTAGCAGCACACATTCTGGAAAGGTGAAAAGATTACATGTAAAAACAATAACCATAAAACAACTACAAGAAAATAGTGGCAAGTATTTAGTTTGATTTTTTTTTTTTTTTTTTTTTTTTTTTTGAGACGGAGTCTCGCTCTGTCGCCCAGGCTGGAGTGCAGTGGCCGGATCTCAGCTCACTGCAAGCTCCGCCTCCCGGGTTTACATCATTCTCCTGCCTCAGCCTCACGAGTAGCTGGGACTACAGGCGCCCGCCACCTCGCCCGGCTAGTTTTTTGTATATTTTTAGTAGAGACGGGGTTTCATCGGGTTAGCCAGGATGGTCTTGATCTCCTGACTTCGTGATCCGCCCATCTCGGCCTCCCAAAGTGCTGGGATTACAGGCTTGAGCCACCGCGCCCGGCCTTTTTTTTTTTTTTTGAGATGGAGTCTCGCTCTGTTGCCCAGGCTGGAGTGTGGTGGCGCGATCTCGGCTCACTGCAACGTCCACCTCCTGGGTTCAAGTGATTCTCCTGCCTCAGCCTCCCAACTAACTGGGACTACAGGCATGCGTCACCATGTCTGGCTTATTTTTGTATTTTTAGTGGAGATGGGGTTTCACCATGTTGGCCAGACTGGTCTCGAACTCTTGATCTTGTGATCCACCCACCTCAGCCTCCCAAAGTGTTGGGATTACAGGTGTGAGCCACCGTGCCTCGCCTTTATTTATTTATTTATTTTAAACAGATAGAGTTTCACTGTGTTGCCCAGGCTGGAGAACAGTTGTGCAATCATAGCTCTTTGTAACATTGAGCTCCTGGGCTCAAGTGACCCTCCAGCCTCAGTCTCCTGAGTAGCTGGGACTAACAGCACACACCACCACACTCAGCTAATTTTGTGTGTGTGTGTGTGTGTGTGTGTGTAGAAAAGAGGTCTCATCATGTTGCTCAGACTGGTCTCCAACACCTGAGCTCAAGTGATCCTCCTGCCTTGGCCTCCCAAAGTGCTGGGGTTCCAGGTATGAGCCACCACTCCCAGCCTGTAGTCTAATCTTAAGTTAGGAAGGACTTTCTAAACATAAAAGCAAAGGAAGAAATCACAAATGAAAATAACAAATACAGCAGAAAATGTTATAAATGAAACAAGTGCGAATAACTGAAAACACATATGCACGGTGTAGCGCAGTTGACTTGACACAGGGTCTTGGTGAGGGTCTTCTGAGTGACAGCAGCAGAAAAGGAAAGTGAGCCCCTTGAGAGTAAAATAGGCCACAGACACGTGGGGAAGCGCCCAAAATACAGAGCGCCGATAAGACAGAGATGTTCACTCCGATAATCAGGGAAACATTAAAACAGACCTCTTGTTCCTGAGAGATTGTCAAAGGTCATGGCTTTGGGAGGAACAGGAAGACAGGTGAGGAGTGCTGGGCCCTGGGCAGGTCAGGCGGGGTTGGGGGCTTTCCAGGGGCTTTTAGTGGGAGGTGATGGTGGGTTGTGGGGGTTTTGTAGGCAACAAAGAGAGGCTGGCAGCCACCACAGTGGCTTTCTGTGTGAGGGGCTGCCTGGCATGTGGCAGGCTTGGCACAGCTACCCACACACCTGCTACCTTGTAGATCCTGGAGCCGGGTCGCAGGGAGCGGCTGGGGCTGAAGATGGCCAACGAGGCTGCCGCCAAGAACCGGGCCAAGAAGCAGGAAGCCTTGCGGAGAGTGACGGAGAATCTGGCCAGGTGAGGGGCCGCCTGGCTGGTGGGGAAGTGTGAGGGTGGCTCTGGCCTGCTCCTGCTTGGCCCCTGCCCTGACGGTGTGGAGGCATGGCCCATGCGGCAGAGTCCAGGGCAGGTCCGCGGGGTTCCGCGGCGGGTACTGTGGCAGCTCCTCTATCCAGAGCACGGCCACACATGGACAGGATGAGAGGCCCCCTCCATCTTCTCTTTCCTCCACGTCCTCTTTGGCCCGTCCCTAAGAGGTATCTTTAGGCATGTGGTCCTGCTGGGAACTTTCATCAGCCCTGTGGAGACGGCCATCGTTCCCCTTGGAGAAGGGTAGGGACTCCAGCTCTCAGAGGCCTGGGGGTCCACCCCAGCCCCCACAGCCAAGGGCAGTGCTGCTATTTGACCTCAGGTTTGACCTGAGTGCTGCTGTTTGACCTCAGGGATCCCCCGCATTTGCCGCCATGCCGACAGTGCCATCCTCCTCAGCTCAGAGTGACTGTGTCTCTGTCCAGGCTCTTCCTGGGAGCCGAGGGAGGCCCTGCTGCTAGCAGCTCTCAGCCTACCTAACCCTGCCTCTCTCGTCCATCCCTTCACCCCAGCCTCACTCCCAAAGGCCTGAACCCAGCCATGTCCCCAGCCCTACAGCGCCTCGTGAGCAGGACGGCCAGCAAGTACACAGACCGAGCCCTGCGGGCCAGCTACACACCATCCCCAGCACGCTCCACCCACCTCAAGACCCCGGCCAGTGGGCTACAGACCCCCACAAGCACACCAGCGCCTGGCTCTGCCACACGCACCCCTCTCACGCAGGACCCAGCCTCCATCACGGACAACCTGCTGCAGCTCCCTGCCCGGCGCAAAGCCTCGGACTTCTTTTAGAGCCAGGCCTGGGCTGGGCCCATAGACGCTTCATGGAGCCTGCAGGGCAGCTGTACACCCAGCAGAGGACTCCAGCCTTCTCGGGGCCCAGGCCTGGGCCAAAGCTGTTGACTACGCCAGGAGCCACTGGAGAAAGGGGCTGTGCTGGGGCCAGGCTGGCACGGGATGCACGTGCCCACGCCACATCCCAGGGCCTTGCCAAGCTGTTTGCTGTTTAATCGGCCCCTTGAAGTGTCATTAAAGAACACCTGGTACAGTCTGGGGGTTGCCTCTCCATCCTGCTCCCCACACAGGCCCTAGCCTTGCCCTGGGGCCTACATTGTGTCTCAGGACCGCAGGGCTTGAAGCGAGGGGCCCCCCAGGTGAGGAAGCTGCAGGTGGGGTGGCTCTGGGGGCACTGAATGACTCTGGCATCGCTTTCTGCAGCACCCGGAACCTGTGTTCTGAGCTGAGCTCACATCCTCCTGTGCTTTCTGCTCCTCTGGGGGGATGTGAAGGAGAAATGGAGCCCTTGGAAGTTGTACTCTCAGGTTCACCTGCAGTTCTGGGCCCAGTCTGCAGCCTCCACTCTGGGCTTGCCCGCTGTAAGGTGCACTGGTTATAGGACTGTGTAGGGGCTGCATATCAGGTGATCTCAGCCGTCACCTTCTCCCAGCACCTGGCTTCCAGCTTATGGGGTGGGACTGTCCCGCTCACCTCTCTGCCGTAGGCACTGCCCATCTTACGCTGCTGGCCCTGGCCTCACCTTGTCTCTCCCACCAGCAGGAGCTCCCAGATAACAGTAATGTGGGCCCCAGGCTCCATGCAGACCTGGCGGGTTCTCTGTGCACTGCGGGCACACTTGCCCATTGCCCAAGGATATGGGTGTCTGACCCTTAGGAGTCTGGTGGCCTGACGGTCCTGTGCCTGCTTTCTGCAGAGGTAGAGGGGCCCAGCTGGGCCCAAGACCAAGGTCTGGCCCCCAGACCTCAAGTGGAGGCCACAGATTGTGCATTCAGGGTGGGGGTCTCACTGCTCGGGGACACACCTGGCCTCTGCTCACACTGGGATCCTTCTTGCTTTGAGTGTGCCCAGCCTGTGCTAGGCGATCTTCTTTGGTTCTCTCATGCCTTTCCTAAGTGCTGAAGTTCTCTGGAGGCTGGTGCGGGGCCTGATCTCTGCCACCTACCTGGGGCCACTGCTAACCTGTGTTCCTCGATAGTGAGTTCCTGCAAGTTCCTGGGGTGGCTGAGCTCCAGATGTGCCCTGGGACCTGCAGGTGGATGTAGGGTTGCTGGACAGGTAGGATGGGACTCTTAATGGGTGGGGGATGTGGGGCCTTTGGTGCTTTATCCCATAGGAAAGGGTGCATGTTGTCCTAAGGGAGTCCCCAGGAAGTGGGGAGGGAGGGGGAGGAGCACTGTCTAGGTGCTGACCACCTCGAGCACTTGGCCAGCAAGTGGGCCGCATGCTTTGGGAGCAATGGGTGACACAGCAGGAAGCACAAAAGACAGGCCAGTGCACCATCACCAAGGGCTGCTGAGCAGCTTGCAGAGCCACTGGGTGGGGAGGGCACACCGGGAGGTCTCAGCTGGGGCTGCCCCTGGAGGACAGGGCAGGGAACTTGAGGGCTGAGGACAGAAATCTCAAATGACTCTGGGAAATAGAGGAAGAGGAGGATGCTGAGCGAGGGGCTCTGAGGGAGTGGGGGTAGGTTAGAGTGGGCTGAACTGCAGGAGGCCAGGGGGAGTCGTGGACCCCTGGAGCTGGCCAGCCCCGGGGCATTGGGGAGGAGACCAGGTCAGAGGGAGACAGTGTGGGCCTGGCAGGTGGACCCTGGCAGAGGCCCTCTCATCCCCCACAAGGCCAGGCCACACCACGAGTCTGCCTATACCTGAGCACCTGTCCTGTGCTCCTAGGCCGGAGAGCGCTGTGTGTCAGGTGGGGCGGTTGGCTGAGTCCCAGAGAAAAACACTCCTCACTGGGCACTCTTGATGCTTGTACACACCCTGTGGTTTATTTGGTGGTCAGTAAAGAACGTCTTTGCTACTAAGTGGAAGAAAGCTAATGGAACGTAATCAAAATAGTGGTTTAATTGACGAATTTTACTTGCACCTGTGCCTTCTTCAGATCCTACCTGCCTACTTAGTTAATGTGAAGGCCGACTGCGCCATGCCCCCCTACCACGGCCCCCACCACACACGACGGGGCCATCGTCATGCTAGGTGCTGGCTTTCCCCACCTCAGCTCCGGAGATGTGATGGTCTTTGGCCCTGGAGGTCTCGGCCAGCCTGTCCTCCACCCTGTCCTCGTTCTCGGGCACCACCAGCAGCCGGTGCTGGGTTTTGGCTCCAAGCTTGTGATCAGGTCGGTGGTCAGGCCGGTGGTCGGGCCTCAAGCCTGGCTTGGTGTCCAGTTTGCACTCGGTGCGGTACTTGCCCTCCCCCTCCCTCTTGAAGGAGGCAGAAGACATGGCTTTGGGCTTGGGGGGCTGCAGCCACGAATGGCTGAGGATCTCATCGATGTGGAGCCGCTGGCTGACGTCAGGCTGCAGCATGCGGTAGATGAGGTCCTTGCACTCACAGGTCAGGTTCTTGGAGCGCGGGAAGTCCACACGATGCTCCTTCTGGATACGCAGCATCTTCCTGATGTCGGAGTCGTCGTAGGGCATGGAGCCGCAGACCATGATGTAGAGGATCACACCCAGGCTCCAGATGTCGTACACCTTGGGCTGGTAGGGGATGCCCTGCAGCACCTCGGGGGCTGCATATGCCGCTGACCCGCAGAAGGTCTTGCTGAGGATGATGCGCCCATTGCTGTCCCGCAGGCAGCGCTTGGAGAAGCCGAAGTCAGACAGCTTGATGTTGAAGTCCTTGTCGAGGAGAAGGTTCTCGCACTTGAGGTCCCGGTGGACAACGTCCAGGTCGTGGCAGTACTTGACAGCCAAGGAGAGCTGTCGGAACATCTTGCGTGCCACATCCTCGTGCAGGGCTCCCCGGCACTTGATGAACTCGAGGAGGTCGCCCTGGACGCCAAGCTCCATAATGATGTAGATGCGCCCGTCAGAGGTCTCAAAGATCTCGTAGGTCTTGATGATGGAGCCGTGGTTGACAGTTGCCAGGATGTCCATCTCCCGAGGAAGGAATCTCTCCACAAAGTCAGTGGGTGTTTTCTTGCGGTCGATGATCTTGACAGCCACATTGAACTTGAGGCGCTCAGAGTAGGCAGATTTGACTTTTGCGTAGGAACCCTTGCCAAGATTGATGCCTACGATGTAACCCTTCTTCCTTAGGACTGTGGCATCGTCCATGGTGCCAGGAGCGACTGGCGCCGCTGCCGTCTACATCCCCCCGTCACGTGGGCCAGCAGGCATTGTCCTCATTTACACTACCGGGAGGTGTCTGGCTGGGCTGGGCTGGGCTTCAACTCAGGGGTGGAACACTCAGCATTGTCTCTGGGTGACTTCAGCGAATGAACTCATAAAGCCAAGGAGTGGGGGCGGGGACTGGGCTGAGGGGGAACAGGGTTCCTGGAACCATGGAAGCCAGGCTGGTCTGGCAGGAGCGCCTGCTCCCCACCCGCTGGAAGGAAGCCTGTCCCCAGACAGGACTGTGGTAACCCTGCTGCTGCTGCTTGCATTGGTTTCCCTGTCACACAAGTCAGGCCAGAGGGGAGGCGGCCCATGTCCAGCCTGTTTCCATCACCTGGCTGTGAGGACCGACCCTGCGTTGGTCTTTGTCTCACTAGGGTGGGTTTTCTGCAGCTGCTTTGGGCTGTGAAAAAAGCCCCCCTTGGGCTGTGTCCTTGGTGTGGCAGGACAGTTCTCCCTGACAGTCACCCAGACAGGCCTGCATAGCACCCCGGGTACACAGACAGATTTCCACAGCACTGCCTTAACATTGAGCACATAGTTAAATCTAGGGAAATTAGTGCCCAGACATCGAAGCTAGAAATGAAACATACGGTCAGTAGGAGCCCTGCATGGGCTTCTCTCTTGCTGGAGCCAGCCAAAATAACAGGAACGGTTTTACATTCCTAGTGCCAGGACCCATCTCAGGTCGACAAAATCTGAAGACAGGTCAAGGTAACAGGCAGCTGTTTGAATAGGTTCATTGAATAGTCTAAGGCAGCTCTCTGGACCAAGCTGTAAAGGAGATAAAATCGAAATAATCACACCCGTACCACAGTAGACAGGCCTTGAAGGCACTGGGCCCCTTTTAATCAGACTTAGCAAGCATTTTTTTTTTTTTTTTGCCTCTGACCTACTTGAAACAAAATCAGTTACCAGTAGACTTAGGTGATTGCTAGCACGTAGGCATATAACCCCAACCTCTATAAACACTAAGAAAATTGTAACACTTGGAGTTGGTCTGGTGGAATTATCTCCAGCCTTCTCCCTGTATCCAGTTACAGTAATAAATTCCCTTCTTTCCTAGTTTGTCTGCTTCTCGTTATTGGGCCTCAAGAAAACACAGCTGGACCTGGCTTGGTTCTGGGAACAGTGGTACCTGGGAGGGACTGCCCTGGACCAGTCCGGCTGGCAGTGGTGCCAAGCCTGGTAGACGAAAGCAGCCCTGTGTTTGGGAGTGGAGGCGGCAGGCCCCTCAGGGTAGAGAGCCGGGCAGGTGAGTCGCTGCTGCTCCAGCGAGCAAGGGCCTGTGTATGGGTGGGTCAGGGCTGCAGTACATGCCAACTGGGTGCCCAGGGTCCAGGGCAGGTGCCTGCATGTCTGAGGGGTGGGGCAGGGCCTCCCTTGGGTAGAGGCGGCAGGAAGGCACCTGGGCAGCAGAGAGCTTGGGAGAAGAGAGGGCTTTTTCTGAGAGTGGCTGGGAAGTAGGAGGGAAGTGAAGGAGTCAGGGCTTTCTCTCTAAGTGGCAGGCCGCCGCTGCAGGTGCAGGACAGGAGAAGGGCCGTCCCAGTTGTGTTTTAAGATGGTCAGTGGCAGAGAGAGAGACAGAGTAGAATTGGCTCTGCGATGAAGGTGGGGGCCAGTGCCTTCGACCAAGTGAGAGGAGGCTGGGCCAGGGTGGGCCTCAGGATCAGCAGGAGACAGAAGGTCAGGTCTGTCTTGTTTGCTAGTCTGTCAGTGGATGGGCCCTGGTGCTGGGGAATCCTGGGGCTGAGAGCACCCAGGCCATGCACTGGGAAGAGCAGGCACCTGGGTGAGGAGGGGGTTCTGAGTCATGTCAGTTTGGGCCTTTGTGTAGAGTGAGCAGCAGTCGCCTGTTGGAACCCTGACATTGAGTATCCTTTGCATCTCGGGCTGCCTTTTGCACCTGGAAACAGTGTGAACATCCTGCGTCAGGGCTGGTGTGTGGATCTGTGCTTTGGGAAATGCGGCATCCTGTACATGTCTCCTCAGGTGCTTTGGACGGATGTTTATTTGTCATCCATCACAGGCATTCTGGGTCCACAGGGAGTGGCTGGGACAGACAAGCTGTGTGCTCAGCATTCAGGGAAGAGGGAGGAAGGCCTGCTCCCAGGTGGAAGGTTTCAAAGAGGAAGTGATGTTGGAGCTGGGGTGCTGGGGATCAACAGACTCCATGGGGTTGACAAGAGGGGCAGGACATGTCAGGCAGATGTGACATCTTGGCCCTGGCATGGCTGTGTGAACCCACTCTGTCTGGAGTACACAGGGAGCACCCTGTGTTTGGAGGTCACTAGGAAAGATTGGAGAAACAGGTCAGCCAAAGTCAGGATGCCAAGCTGAGAGGCTCAGATGAGCAGGATGGGCCGATGTGCCCACCGTGACTGCCTTCCAGCAGTGACAGCCTCCCAGAGTCCCACCCGAAGCTCTTTGTAGCATCGGTGGTTAATAGCTTTAGTTTGATGCTTTCCTTTCTCCTGGGAGTCTCTATGGCTGAAATGACCAGCACTTCACTCCTTTTTTTTGTCCTAGAAGGGGCTGGCTATGAAAATTTGCAAGCCAGGACCCAGGAGCATGAGAATTCCCACTTACCACCCCTTGACCCTTTCCCTTGCTCCCCTAAATGACCTATCTGGGGCATTTCTCTGCATATCTGCTTGCCCTGCCCTTTTCTTTTCCTTTCCTTTCTTTTCCTTTCCTTTCTTTTCTTTTCCTTTCCTTTCCTTTCCTTTCCTTTCCTTTCCTTTCCTTTCCTTTCCTTTCCCCTTTCCTTTCCCCTTTCCTTTCCCCTTTCCTTTCTGGGGCATTTCCTCTGCATATCTGCTTGCCCTGCCCTTTTCTTTTTCCTCTTTCCTTTCTTTTCCTTTCTTTCTTTTTTCTTTTCTTTTCCTTTCCTTTCCTTTCCTTTCCTTTCCTTTCCTTTCCTTTCCTTTCCTTTCCCCTTCCTTTCCCCCCTTCCTTTCCCCCCTTTCCTTTCCCCTTTCCTTTCCTTTCCCCTTTCCCCTTTCCTTTCCTTTCCCCTTTCCTTTCCCCTTTCCTTTCCCCTTTCCTTTCCCCTTTCCTTTCCTTTCTTTTCAATGGAGTCTTGCTCTGGCACAATCTCAGCTCACTGCAACCTCCAATTCCAGGGTTCAAGCAATTCTCATGCTTCAGCCTCTCAAGCAGCTGGAATTACAAGCACGCACCATGATGCCCAGCTAATTTTTGTATTTTTTAGTAGAGATGGGGTTTCACTCTATTGCCCAGGTTGGTCTGGAACTCCTGGCCTCAAGGAATCTGCCTGTCTCAGCCTCCCAAAGTGCTGGGATTACAGGCATGAGCTACCGTGCCCTGGCCGGATATCTGCCTTCTCGCTAGACTCTACCAATGCCTTCTCCCTCTTTTTGTGCATTCTACTTCACCCCCCGAGTGCCTCTCTGGTCCTTGGGGGACATGCCAGAAGAGGCAGGTGTCAACATTGCAGAGGCAGAGTTGCCCAGGCATGGAGTGGGCTGCTTCATCCAGGAAGCACACACACAGGGCCGGGACTCCTGGTGTGTTTGACGGAGAGGGTTGGATTGGATCTGGGGACCTCCAGCGTTGCTCCTAGGGTTGCAGTCCTGTGAGCCAGGTACCTGCACACTCTAAGAAATCCACTTCCCTCTGAACCTTCCTTTCCTTTATAAAGTAGGCACCTGTTTACCCATTTGTCCCCCAAGCACTGAGGGCCTGCCCTGGGTGCTGAGGTACACTGATGAGCTAAACCACCCATGCCTTCCTGGAGCCCAGAGGTGAGGGAGGCTCAGTCACGCCAAGTGTGTGTGCACGATGGTGGCTGTGCCACGCCTCAGAACCATGGTGCTGTGAGGACAGGGAACTGGGGATTGGACTTTGGGAAGCTGGGGAAGGCTGAGGTCTGAGGAACTAGCCAGGTGGAGGGGGATGAGGATGGCTATTACATGTGACAGTTTGAAGGGATGTGGCTTAGCAGGAGCATGGACAGGCCATGGAGGGCCTTGTTGAGGTCCTGGTCCTAGCACCTCTGAGGGTCCTTGAAGGGGTCTGAGCCAGGGCTGAGCCACCTATGGGAGTTACCCGGCATGGCGAGGCCACCTGTGGAGGGGTCACCTGGGTCTCCTGCCCTGGGCAGTGTGATCTCAGACACTCTCTCTGAGCTGTTTCCAGCTATAAAGCGCAGAGCAGGAACTCCTCCCGCAGCCCCTCCCACCCGGGCTCACCTGGCTGAGCTACAGTGAAGCTCCCAGACCTGCTTGCTGGCCACTCCCCTGAGGACCATCGCAGGTCTGTGGGGATAATTGGGGAGGAGGGCCCAAGAGCCATTCCTCAGGATGTCCCACCCGGGCCCCCATCCCAGCACTCTGGGCTCCCTCTCCACCATGAGTTTCTTGGTGGGAAGAACAGGGTGGCCCCTCAAGGCCTGTTGGCAGAGTACAGAGTGGCAGGCTGCTGAGAACCCCTAGAAGGCTTTATGGAGGCCTCAGCCCCTCAGCTGAGCCTGGAGAGCTGGACAGAGTCTGCAGGGGCAAGTTCCCTGTATGATTATGGGTCATGTGTATGATGGGGGCCCAGTGGTGAGGCCTGGTGCCCAGAGGCCAGGGGAGGATGCATTGGGCCACAGGAGGACCCCAGAGGCCAGGGGAGGGGACAGAGTCTGCAGGCAAGTTCTGTATGATTATGGGTCATGTGCATGATGGGGCCCAGTGGTGAGGCCTGGTGCCCAGAGGCCATTGTGGGAGGATGGATTGGGCCACAGGAGACCCCAGAGGCCAGGAGGATGCACTGGGCCACAGGAGACCCCAGAGGCTGGGGAGGTGGTGCACTGGGCCACAGAGGACCCCAGAGGCGAACAGGAGGTGCACTGGGCCACAGGAGGACCCCCGGGAGGCCAGGAGGATGCACGTCACAGGAGGACCCCAGAGGCCAGGGGAGGGTGCACTGGGCCACAGGAGGACCCCAGAGGCCAGGGCAGGTTTCTCCCCGCTGGGCAGTGGGAGCCAGGCTGGGTGGGGGATGGCTCTGGACACTGTTGGAGGTGGTGGGAGGGTTGGGGTGGAGGCCTGAAATTAAACCATGTGGAAGGGGGCTTTGGGAGCATGAGGAGGCAGGTGAACTTGAGGAGGAGTGCAAGGAGGGCCGGTCCAGGCTCTCACTAGACCCTGCTTCTCCAAGGGGACTGAGGTTGGGGTCTTCCTGAGGTGGAGAAGTGACCATAGGTAGACTGTGGACAGTGATCATGGATGCTGCTGGCAGTGGAGCTCCTCTGCTCTGACATTCTCTGTGTCCAGCACCTGCTTCAGGCCCCGCCCCGGGGGAGTGGGAGTCGCACGACTGTCCTAGCCTTGGGTTTGACTTTGGCCCCATCCACTTAGAGGCCACGGGAGAGATGATTCTGAAAGCGCTTGTCCTTTGTGTGTGTGTCAAGCCTTAGGCCCACATAAGGTTGTCCACAGTGGGGCGAGGAGAAAGGGGCCATGGGGAGGTAGCCCTGCCTAAGATATGCACAGGCCACGTAACACACTATAGCCAGTGGTGCCAACTTTAGGCTCATGACCC